AGAGCTACCTCAGATGTATTCTGCTTTATATCAAGATGTTAATCATATCAGAGATGTGAGATCTCTTATTAATAAGAACAAAATGATGTGAAAAAGAAACACCCAAGCACTAGAAATACTTCAGCAAAGCTAAAAATCATTACTAAAATTAAAATGCTAGTAGAAGGGCAAGAAGGAAGTCTCTCACCAAAACAGAGTGTGAAAAAAGGCCCAGGGTAGAAAAGGAGGAAGAAAAGTATAACAGAATGTAGTACAACTACAGGGTTCTCAAAACAATGAATGTAACTACTCATATAAGTAGCAATTCTAAGAAATTTCAGAAATCTCAGGAAAAAAGAAATTATAAAAAGCATTATGTAATAAGTGTAAAAACATACCACGGGGCTCACCAATACATTCAAACTAAGATCACCTCTGTGCAGTGAGAGTGATGGTGTGCTGGGAACAGGCTCTTTCCTGGGGGTGTTTCTGGCTTCAGGACCACCCAGCAGACTACTGTAACTTTCTGGGAGATATTCCTTCCTTCCTCCTTTCTTTATCAGATACAAATCTGAATTGTGGAATAAGTGCTTCCTCCACTTTCTTTTGGTTATATTATCCCTCTATTATTTTCTACCTTTGCCCTGATAAGTCATTTGTCAAATGTGAACTATATGCTCAGTGTTTCATATACTGTATGCTTCACAAAACCCACCAAGTGAAAATATCTACCCCAATATACAGATGATGGAATCTAACTTATAGGACTGAGCAACTAGCTTAGGGTCACATAGGAAAAAGTGAGAGAACCCCAATTCTAACCCAGGTGTATTTATATCCAAGCACAAGTGTCCATAATTCCTTAGTTCTTAAATTTGTCATCTGGAAGCTTTCATGAAAACATATTTTTTTTAAAAAAAACACATTTTTAAAAAAAGAACCTCATTACACAAACGTGTTCAGAGAAATATTATTCACACAACAGCCCAGATTAGATATGACTCACATGCTCATGAACAGATTAATGGATAAAAATTGCATGGACTGTCCATTCAATGGAATAGCATTTTTCAAATAAAAAGGAATGAAGTACTAATGTAGGTGATCTCACAGATGAACCCTGAACACATCATGCTAAGTAACAAATTCATAAAAGTTGTCATACTCTTGATTCAATTCATATAAATGTTTGGCATGGGCAAGAATGTAGAGGCACAATGATTAGTGGTTATAGGGCTAAGGGGAGAAAAGAATGGGAAAAGACTGTTATAGGCTATCGTATTTTGATGCCAGATAAGGAAATGTTTTAAGTTAAAAGCAGTAAGGATGGTATTACTGTGAAATGCGTAAAACACCCATAAACAAAATAGTATACTTAAAAATGTATGCAATGAATGGTATGGGAATTTTAACTCAATAAAAGTGATACTATATATATCTATATATATATAAAATATATACATATATTTTTAAAAACTGTCCTGACACATCAAAACAAAGGTAAAAAGTCTTTCAAGTCAAGTCATATTATACAAAATATGCGAAGAAACAAAGTTGTTTTGATAAATTTCAGACTGACATTCAAAACAGCAGCTCTACTATTATAATCAGTTGATTCACTCACACATTAAATTTGGGGGATATATTATTTTTATTTTAAATTTATGTCAAAAGGTAAAGAAATAATAGTTTCCTGTACTCCAAGCTAAAAATGTTTTATTAATGCTACCAATCTGTACCTCTGTCTAATTTTTAATTTCATTATATATTTTTTCATAACCTGGGGCATTACTTGCATATCAGGCTAGCAATTACAAAGGACATGTCTACCGAGTGCAAACTCAGCCTTAATCAATCCCATTTATCTTTGTAATAGTTCAATTCTTGGATAAGAAAATGTTTTTCCATATGCATTACATAATTTTTTTAACCATTAGCTATAGAACATGTCAATTTGCCCACTGACAAAGATTGTATAAACCAAAGTTAAACTCAATGTCATTTGGTATCCTATGCAATTCAAAAATAAGCCATATTCTGATGTAAAATGATTTACTAAGTTTTTTAGTGTTTTTATTTTTCTCTAAATGATTTAATCCCATCCAAAGAAAGGGGCCTGGACTAAAGCCCTCATCTGCTCTGAAATCCAGGTATTACCAATTTTAATATTTGTTAGTATAAGTAGTTAGGATAAAACACAAATGCTTTCAGATAATATAAAAGTTTGGGATAGTGAAAAATATGGTATGAGATATTGTTTTAAGGAAATATAAAGTGACTTATAAAAGTCACTTTCAGCAAAATGCTGAAAGCAAGCAGCTATATTGACATACTATGTGTAAGTCATTATGTGTAGAAGAAATAAGTCTCTAAAATGGTCTCCAATCACCCTCCTGGACTTCACTCTTTTGTGCAAACCCCTCCCTTGGAGTGTGGGAGGGACTTAAGTTTCTGGGCTTACTGGAGTATAGTGAAAGCAATTAGATTCATTTCTGATATTAAGTTACAAAAATGTGGTCATTATCTCAGATGCTCTCTCCTGTCCTCTGGCTTCCTTGTTCAGAGGAAGCTAATATCCAGGTATAAACTGCTTTTGGGAGGCCTATGTAACAAGACACAACTGTGTAACAGCCAGGGGAATTATAGCCCCTAAAAATAGGTTCGGAATGAATCTTCCCATCCACTGAGCCTTCACCTGAGACAGTCACCCTGGTGGACAGCCTTATTGCAGCCTTAGAGAGAACTCAAACCTAGACACAGGGCAGAGCTGCTCCCAGATTCCTGATTGAGAAAATGATAAGACATTAAATGTCTTATTAAGCCCGTGTCTGTGTGTGTGTGTGTGTGTGTGTGTGTGTGTATAATTTGGCACACAGTGCAAAGGAACTAGACTAGAACCCAGTATTTGAATTCCAAAAAATAAAATAAAGGGAAAAAGCAATCTAAATATATGTCATATATATTTTTCCATCAGAAGGAAAAACACTGTATTCTCAACAAAATTAATAACACAAATAATGTTATAAATTTTATAATTTAAATGTAACTATTAAGGTCGAACATGTGTGTTCAAAAACAATGTAATCATGCCACTACTCATGTTGAGAACCCAGTACATTCCAATGTTCTGAAAATAAAAGACATTTTGCTATGCCTAAATGCCCTGGGGTATGTTCTGACTCCAGTTGTACATACTGTGTGCATTTAGTCTTAGGTTTTCCTTACCTTGTGTTGCATACATCAAACCCGATGATGTTGCACATGTTATTGTCTAGTTTCTGCACAACTTGCAGGGTTCAGCTTCTTGCCTCTGAGAAGTTCCTCTAAGCCCATGATTCCACCCTGCCCTGACTCCCAACGTTTAGTTTTGCCACAGGTTTTTCTCCTTTGGGCTTTCTCAGTGGCAACTTGTACAATGTCAAGCATTGGAATTTATATTATTGTTAATGTAACAGACAGAGGACATAAAATGTGATTTCAATAAAAAGTTAAGTACTTAATTACCATTTAGAAATAATAAAACTACCTCTACCACAAATTTACAAATGATAACAGAAATACACAGACTGAATGCATCTCATATTAAATGCTTAGAACCAGAAGTGTTTCAAGTGTAGATTTAAAATTTTTGTAAAATTTGTGCAGAATTTACCATTTGAGCATTCCTAACATAGGCAAGGCTGGCTTAAAACTATGTAGCTCAAGCTTCAAACTCCAGATCCTGCTGAATCAGCCTAATCCTGCTGAATACTGGCATTGTAGACATTCACTACCATGCCCAGCTTAAATGCTTAAACTCTCTACTTTATGTCTATAAAACTAGAACCTTTATATTTACAACATGCACAAGAAATAGTTTTCAGATATATCTTATACTACATTATTTTAGGCCTCTCAGGCAAAATTGGTTTAAGCAAATTATTATAATTTGTTAATCCTGGTTCCTGGAATATTAAGTAAAATAATATATATGGGTCAAATTTTGAAAGAAAGTACTATATAAATGCTAAGTACTATTAACTACCATTTCCTTTTTATTGAGTAGCATTGTAGACATATGTCACTAGATGAGGCCTACCACAGGAGGATTAAAAACTCTTACACAATAGTTATGTAAGGGCTGAAGGTATGGCTCAAGTGGTAGAGCTTAGGAAGCCCAATGCAGTGAGTTCAGATTTCAGTCAAATACCAAAAACAAATAAAACTGAAGAAATGTAGTACGAAAGTTTAACACAAAGAACTTTGGAATAGCTGATGGAATACTATTGAGTCCAATAGGACTATGGTGCCTTTAATGTTGCAAACATTGACAGCAGATCTGCCATCTTTAAATTTAGTCTTATCTTCCCAGGTAGATAATTTTTTAAAAAAATATTAGAAAAAACTGACAGTTTTCTAAAACTGACAGGTTCTTTTAATAATATTCCATGATATTTTCTGTGAGAGGCAAGTTCTCCAGAATAAAGTTCTCAAAATATACTTATGGTTTCATCTGTGGATATATTTTATAGGTAAACCCACATCACTATAGGATAGATTCATAAAACTAAACATTTTGCATAGGAACAAAGTGTTATCTCATAAGTAATCCAACCAATAAATAGTAAGGTATTTATGGTATAATAATACATTTTAAAGGGCTGGAAAGGTGGCTCAGTGGTAGAGTGCTTGCCTTGCATGCCTGAGGCCCTGGGTTCGATTCCTCAGCACCACATAAGCAAAAAGAAAAAAGCCGGAAGTGGCGCTGTGGCTCAAGTGGTAGAGTGCTAGCCTTGAGCTGAAGAGCTGAAGGACAGTGTCCAGGCCCAGAGTTCAGGCCCCACAACTGGACCCCCCAAAAATAATAATAATACATTTTAAGGTAAATAGAATCCTATAATTGGAATCATGTAATTATCTCTTATTAATACATTTCTGCCTAAAGCATCACTAAACTCTAGCACTCATTTCTAAGTTTGGTAATGATGCACACACACTGAGTGATCTCTCTAAAACCCTCATGATTAGATTGTATTACTTACCTAATTGTATCATTGGTCTCTGAGATAGCTTTCAAGTACGCTTTCAAATAAAAATAATTAAAGCAGTACTTCCGAATCCTAAAGCCTCGCCAGCGTCTCTGAATCTGTTAGTGTAAATAAGGAGATAAAGCATGTCATGAAACATTTTTATTAGAAACACTAACAGTTCTTTAAAATCAAGATTATGCATGATAATTCACATCAAGCAAAGTCTTACGCTTTCCACTAAAAAATGATAGCACATTAGTTACAAATGTAGATTGCATTCATACATTTATCATAAAATATTACATAGCACAAAGTAAGTATAGGTTACTACTACTTGTATGTATAATTGGCTACTAAAATATTTAAATGCTGCCTTATAAATTCCTATCATTTCCACTGACAGGTCAGCTGGCGTGAAGATTGCATTTGTCCATTGAAATAATTTTAAATTCACTTTTAAAATTCATTGATATCAAAATTTTTAAAATACTGCTGAGATAAATTTTCCTCCCTCCCTCTTTCTTCCCTCCCTTCCTTTTTTTCTCCTCCTCTCGTTCTTTCTCTTTCTTTCATTATCTCTCTTTCTTTCTTTCTTCCTTTCTTCATTCACCCTTTCTTTCTTTTGAACTGCAGTTTGAATTCAGGGCCTCACACTTGTTAGGCAGATATTTTACTGTTGAACCATTCCTCTAGACATTTTTTGAGCTAGTTATTTTTTAAACAAAGGCTTGCTTCCTGCTGGAGTGTGTACCAGTATGTGATCCACATATTTATATTTCCCATGCAGCTAGGATGCCATGCATGTGCCTTTATATATCCATTTATTGGTCAAGAAGAGGTTTTTCCCTGGGCTGGCCTCAAACTCCAATCCTCCACCCATTTATCTGTGCAGCAGATAATTACTTGTAATATCTCATTTATAGGTTAGAAAATAGTTACAAAAAGAGGGCACATAAATTTCCTATAATTACACAGCTAACAGTCATAGATCCAAAAATGAAATTTGTTGTTCAGCAAAGCCTTTCAATACAAAGTCGGAAAGGAAGCAAAACATATTTTTTGAATGATTGAAACTGATAATCTGTGAAATCAATTTTGTAGGAGAAATACCTTGAATTTACCTAAAGGCACCAAAGAAGAAGAAGAGCATGTGTTGAGAAATACTAACTGAGCTAGCTATAAAGTTTTCAGTTCTTCCCCTACAATTTTCCAATAGTTTGTCTATATGAATGCCTGACAAGTTACAAAGAATTGTGTTAGGACATGAAATCTTTGTAAGTTTTCACCTAACAAAATACTTATCTTCTCTAAACATGCCTTTTCACTCAAATAGATATTGATACTATTGAGACTAGGACCTAATTTATTATGGTTTTTCCCAAAGTCTATGTTTTTTTAACTAAGATATTTATTTTCAAATATTTATAAGTGGAATACTGACAAAAAAGGGAATAAAGTTTACTTGAATTTGCATCCTGTAATTTTCTCTGTATTAAAACATGGCAATTAAAAATATACTTTTACAGTCATTTTTAATCTGTGAAAATTCAGAATTTGAGATTTTGAAAATATATTATATAATGTGTATGATAATGAAGATATGCAAAACAACCCATGAAAACAAACCAGAAACTACCTATCGAAAATAAAACCATGTCATATAGCAAAGGTTACAGAAAATGCTTTCCAAATTATCTTAGAGTTCAGTTCTTTGATCTAAGAAAATAATAGTTTTTCTAATATTATAAGGTACTCAATTCTGAAAATCTCTTTAGTCAGACCAAAAGCACATTATAGCTGATGAAGAGGAGGAATTGAAACAAAACACTTTCTAATAAAAACAATAACCAATTAAAATATCAGACATAAGTATATCTTAATGCATTTCCTTGACTCATGTGATCTAAACTTACAGCATCACTCTGAGATGGAGATTATTATTAGTCTCATTTGAGAAAATAGAAAATTGACTCCTCAAAAAATTAAATTAACTGTGTAAGACCATATAGCTATATGAAAGGATCCAAATGTTCAGCTGTGTTACTGGCAAATCTTTCATCTGCAATAAAAGGAGTTATTCATGTTGCGTTGGGAAAATGGGGAGATACCCAAGAGTGCACAGAGAGGGACTAACTTTGGGAGAAAAGTTTCAACAAACTTTAGATAAAATAAGATTAATACTGTCTGAAAACATCAAAACTGCATGCCAAAATACTGAGAAAGGTGACTAATGACTGTTTATGATCAGGTAATACTAGAGTAGTAGGTGTGCCAACTTATTATTCTATTGTGTTGTGATCTACTGAGTTCTTTTGTTTTGAGACAATACTGTGCCACATAGTTCATGCTACTATTTTTAGCCCAGGTTGTTGTGGAACTGGTGACCTCTTGCCTCAGTCTCCTGAGTTTTGAGAAGACAGGTGTGCACTACCATACTCAGCTAAGTATGTCCATTTCCAAAAATAGAGATCTGCAAGAACAAAAACTAAAACTGTCTGAAAATGTGCTAAAACCAGATTTTTCCTGTATAAAAAATGTCATAGGTGCCTTCCTTCTCCATGTCCAGCAATCCCTGGAAACACTATGGATCACTCAGGAACTCTGCTTATAGTGTGCTTGCGAAAACTTCTAATGTCCTAATATCCTAGATGTTTACTCAAGGCAGAATAAAATCCTTTTCAAAACAAATTATTTTATTTACAATTAGGTAGTGAAGAGCATATAGTAATAATAGGATAGCTAGTAAGCTAAAACCCATCAATCAGTCTTTAACTGGCTTCAGGCAGGATGTGTGTGTGTGTGTGTGTGTGTGTGTAAAATGCTAGAAGAATGAAACATCAGTGTGGGTGAGGGAGGGGCCATCAGTACAGGGAAGATCTAAAATTTATTGAGCTCCTTGAATGTGCCAAGTATTATATTTACTGCAGTAACTCTCACAATATCCTTGTAAACAAAGCATGGTCTTCCAAGTTTAGTGAAGAAATTAAGTGTAAGTAATCAGCCCAAGATCACAAAACCAGTAAGAGTAAATGGCAGAGTCAGATCTGTCTTACTTTATAGCTCATGATCCTTCCACTAATACCCTACAGAATAAATAGACTATTTTTGCATTTTTAAAGATACCAGTTTCTTACATTGTGGAGAGCCCATTTTAACAAAGGATAGATATAAAAAGATACAACATAGTAGAGATTCTACCATACTACCTTCTATAAGCATAAATGATATTTTGTTTTTTTCCTATTCTAGAACTAGTGAATAAATGTAATTTTTTAAAAGTACAATCCAGGAGCAGAATGAATTTTAATATTTTTTTCAGTTCAAGGTGAATGGGTTACAACTTTCTAAATAAATAATACTAAAAATAGCTAATATTCATGCCCTTCAATGTAATTAGCAACTTTCAAAAGAGATTGGTATAAAACAATTATTGTCATCGATCAGCTCTGAATAGATAATGTTAAACAAAGTCATCCTGTGCTCAGCAGATTACAGCTTGTTAACGGGCAAGTTCTAAATGACCTCTTAAGCTAGTCAAATCAATGATGCATATTTCTCATTAAGTAACATCAAAATGTAAGTGGTCTTATAAATAATGTTTATTTTAAGCACTAAAACAAATGGCAAAACCTAGATGTATCAAAAGCCATCTGCTCATAGAAAAGATTTTCTTCCACTGGGTTTATTTTTATTCTTGAAAATCTATAGTAACCTTAATTGCCATGGGAAGAGAGAAAAAAAGTATCTTCTCTTCTAAAATTAAATTAAGACATGGAAAACAAATTCACTGATAATAACACACCTAGAATCAATGCTCTAAATATAGAGAAGAGTTTGGAGTTTGGAAAGAGAAATCAGCTATTCTCACTTCTTTTAATTACTACAAAACACTGGAGAATGACACAGAAAAGCGATTTTATTCAGTCTTTAAAAATTATCAATATAACACAAGTTTTTTATTTGCATTTTTTATTTATTTTTTTTGCATTATGTCAAAACTATAAATATATGAGCATATAAACATTTATATAGGAAATTATAGAAAATGTGTGAAAAGATTGTTGTATATATGTATGTGTACATATACACATATATATACAATGTAGATATGAAAAGTTTAATAAAATAGAATATATGTAATAATTAGTTTATATTGCTTCTTACATTCCATTCCAACTCTACCTGAATTTATAGTCATTTCTCTATAATCTAGTTAACAATTTTATAATGATTTTGACTCTAGAATAGTATGAGGTTAGAAATATTCTTTTGTCTGGTGATGGAACCATTATTGGGTAAAAAGTTAGGATTGTATAAATGACTCCTTTCTTTTCTTCTTCCCAAGGCTGAAATTATGGAGCTACTGTTCTTCATGTAAGACAATTTGTTATTTATTCTGTATTCATATTCCTCTGATGTAATGCCCACTAGACAAGATACCTCTAGTAACTTTTCGCTAAACCTCCATACTACCATCTAATCTTGAATGTCTATATTTAAATACAAATGCTTAATTCCTTCACAGTTCAAGGAGATTGAGCTGTTTATATAGCTGATATAGTTAATAACTTCAAGGGAATAATTTTTGTTATCTGACATATTAATGATTTTTAAAGTTAATATTTTTCTCCTTTGTATTTTAGGAGTGAGTATTCCCCATAAAAGGAAATGATAGATTTAAATTGTTAATATATAGCATTATAAATGTAAGAATAAATATGTCATTAAATTTAATTTTCAAATCTGTTGTCTTAAGTGATCTTGAGTGTCTCTCTTGTTACTATAATTTTTTCCTTAAAGTGAGCATCTCAATCTGAACTAAAATTTTTTTGGGGGCACTAAAAGCAAATTAAATCATTTAATATAAGTGAAGTAAATCAGTTTGAATTCTCCAGAATACAGCAGTTTCACTAAATAAGTGTATGTGATTGATCAATACCATGAACAAGGAAGCCGGGGTAAAAGGAATTTTACTTGAAACAATCAATTACATCTGTAGTTCTTTAAACCTCTGTTAGCTTTAGATTATTACCATTTTTTCATTCCTCATAAATCTTTGAAGCTTAGAGGAAAAAGTCCGATGGAACATATTTCATAAGGGACATCGACTGTTAAGGAACTGAATACTAGCATTTCTTTGACTCTGCATTCCTGTGATATTGCTCCAGTTGTCCTAGGATGGACAGCAGGTAAGGTCTCAAGATAGATGTGACGGTCCAATGGAGACTTTCTAAAGGGAGCTTACCTTTGTTAGCTTTCATACCTTGTGCCACATCATATGTCCACATTGTGTTTAGTTTATGGAGGCCAGCTGAAGATGTACTGAAAAGTTGTCTTCCCATGGCACACAGGTCCCATGTAAAAAATTCCTACTTGTGCCTTTCACTAAGTCTCTTCATATGGCATATAGAGTTGATGTGAATGACCACATATGACATGTGGAATTCCTGGGGTTTGGACCTAGGATCTAAAACATTGATCTCATGGAAGGAAGGAAGGAAGGAAGAAAGGAAAGAAAGAAGGAAAAATAGGAAGGGACGGAAGAAGGAAGGAAAGCAGGAAGACAGAGTGAATATATGCAATTCTGGTCTTAGGTAGATTATTTTCTCTCTATACATGGATGAAAGGAGACTTGGTGGACAACGCAAAAATCAGAAGCAAGAGAAAGCATCAAGTACTGAGGAAAAAAATCAATCTGCTTGGGAAAAGGGACAAGTAATTGACCTCAGGATGGATGAAATACTCCAACTACAGTGGAATTTATATTTTGCTACCTGGAATATTTTTAAACAGGCTTTCTCCACTCAAAGTAATTCTTGTCCTCTCTAACATAATTATGTATTAATTATGAACCTGAGGGTCTCTGCTCAGTATCTGGTGGGCCAGAAGCGAAGGCCAAGTGCTTACATATGCTCACAAATATCGGAAGGGGGATGGTGAGTCAATACTGTTCCACACTGTAAGAGAACAAACAACTGTCTATCTAAAATGAGGCAGAAGAGAAATGAACAACTGACTCAGGTCATGCATGTGTATGCTACTGCAAGCTGTCTAAAGAACTAAAAATAAAAGTCAGGAGCCAAATTTAAATAGTGCCAAAATAGTGGCCAAAATGCCAAATGAAAAGCAGAACAATAACTGGGATAAAGTCAAAGTGGAGACCAAAAAGGAAATAGAGTGTCACATTGACACACAGGGGGAATAAGGCTCCAGGAGATAAGATAAAAATTTACAGAGCAATTTACTGCTATATTAATCGACTCTCAGTGGCCTAGCAGCAAATTAGCAACAAGGAGTCTGTACCAAGCATACTTACTGTGAGTTCTGAATATAGCATGTATCATAGGAAACCTTCAGATCTCTGTGTATTACAGTACTTTGACAAAATCCTAAATCACAGAAGGTCTTCCATTCACTTATGAATTGCACACTACCTAAATTTTACCTTAGTTCACTCACACTACATAACCTAGTCAGAAAATCAAAAGAAGGTCTAAAGACATTTCAGCTAAGATTTAAGTAATTTCTAACAAAGACAGTCAAGGGCATAGAGAAAAAAGTATTTAAAGCAAAGAACTTTTTTATTCCTTGCATAGAAAAAATCAGAGGGCCAGCATCCATTGTTTTATTCAGGGATATTTATCTCACCACCTACCATAAGTCAAGCCCTAAGAAATACAAAGAAAAAGACAGGATCTGGGCCTCAGGGGACTTACCGAATGTGGAGGGTGGAGACTGGCATATAAATTAGTAGAGATAATAAATGTTACAAGTTCTGTAACCAAAGTATGTTGATGGTCAAATAGGGAAATAAAAAGCGAGAGAGTGATCAATTCTACGGGAATAGAGAGTATCATAAATCCTTTAGAGAAAAGGTGACCCTTTAAAAAATAAATGCAGCAAATGAGAAAATTAATAACTATTACATAGAAACATCACATATATGTAAGACTTCATTACTAAAGTATGACCATCTATTTAGGATTGACTATAGATAAATTTGAAGAAGCTCCTCCACTAGACTGCTTAACAAGTCACTGAATATAATCTAGTTGTCATGTTAGTTCTCAGTTGCCAAATGTATAACTTGCAATTGATGCAGTTCATGAGACCAATTAAGAGGCAGGGTTTTTTTTTTTTCCTACCTACTATTAAGAAGATCTATTCAGGGCTGGGAAGGTGGCTCAGTGGCAGAGCGCTTGCCTTGCATGCATGAGGCCCTGGGTTCGATTCCTCAGCACCACATAAGCAGAAAAAAAAGCCGGAAGTGGCACTGTGGCTCAAGTGGTCGAGCGCTAACCTTGAGCTGTAGAGCTGAGGAACTGTGCCCAGGCCCAGAGTTCAGGCCCACAATCGGACCCCCCCCCAAAAAAAAGAAATATCTATTCATGGTTTACCTATATGTGTGTCATACAGGAAGCAATGTATCACTACTGCCCAGCAGGTCATCTGTCTCTCTGTCCTGAGATATTGGCTGTATTCTTTTGGGGGGACACATTTACCTTTGAGTCAGGATGATAAGAAAAAAAGTATTGCCTATCTGAGGGGCAATTTGCTTTCTGCCACAAGATGCTTATTGTCAACTCCTATTCTTCCTAGAGCCCAAGGTGGTTGCAAAGTGACTTCAAAATGGCTCAGATCAAGGGATATAGATACAGAGTGTAGGGTTGGGTAATTACCTTTCTCCTGCTTTTAGTTAACTTAGAGCCCAAGGCACAAGACCAATGGCCTTGAATCCTCTCTTAAGACATAAGAGAACACACAGCTTTTTGCACGACATTGAAACAACTAAACAAACTCTTGCTGGGCACCAGTGGTTCCCTCTGGTAATCTTAGTTATTCAAGAGATCTCTGTTTTGAGGTTCAAAATCAGCACATGAAAGGAAGTCTGTGAGATTCTTATCATGAATTAACTACCTAAAAGATGTAAGTAGAGCTGTTTCAAGTGGTAGTGTGCCAGCCTTGAATGAAAATGCTAAGGGACAGTGTCCTGGCCTTGAGTTCAAGCCCCCCTATCAGCACCAAAAAACAACACAACAAAACAAAAAAAATCAAAAACACAAAATTTCTTGTCTTCCAAGTGGCACATACTGATGTGAATTTCATAGACACACTTACTCTAGGGAAAGAGGAGCCTCCATTAGTCATGTTAGATCAGAATTCAATATGAAGATTTAGAGCTGAATTATAATCACAAATACACTTTTATTTGATCTCTATTTTTCTGTGCTTTTCCCTAGTAGCACAAGGGACAAGATCTCCTGTTTGGATTTTCTTAGTCTATGACCTAAAGGCTTTGGTCACTCACTATTTTAGTTTGTCTAGTTTCTTTTCCTTTTTATTTTAGAGACATATCTGACATGAAAGAAACAGAAAAGAAAAAGAAAGAACCTAAAAGATTAAGTCTTTAACAGGCCTGTAAAGAGAATTAAAATTCTCCATATTCTCAAATTCATTCCTATTAAAAATGAAAAATAAAATAATTTCTCTAGGTGACTATTACTGAGGAGTGAGCACCCTGCAGCTGGAGTTTTCTGCCTTTGGCTCAGAAGAAGCAGGGAGATAAATCTATTTCTTCCTCTTGCTTTTATTTTTATAAACTCCAGGAGAGCAGAGAGATTGGCCAGACAGTGGAGACTGGGGTTAGTCTCCCAACACATCACATCTGCAGAGAAATGCAACCCTTACAAAAGCAGCACACAGAATACTGTTCATGTAGCTTCCCAGCTTCAACTCATACATTGCCTCACCACATACAAACCTATTATTTATAGAACTAACAGATTCATGTAAGAGAATAAGCACTATAGATTATGAAAACATTAGGAAATTCCTGTAAGAAATTTCTCCATTTGTTGTACTTTAGCAATTAAGTTGTTCCCATCTACTGTCTGAAACAAAAGAAACAATAGTTATGCTTTGTCCATCTCCAAAACCTGTGCAGAAACTAGATTCAAGTCCTATAGTTGTTAATTTAGCTTTCTGTTGAAAAAAATAGCACATAAAAATGAACACAGAAATGTTGGAAATAAAACTTATAATCTGGAAGCTGACTTTATTACTGTTAAATCATATGAATAATTTCTAATTGATTTGTATTGGCAGGTTTCTTATATTTCAACACCATGTTCATCTATTTATCACAATATTCCATATGATGTATGGAAGCTAATACATTGCTTCACTAATATTTACAATCTTTCTCTAGTTATGGATCAGATATATAACATTCTACAGCATAAGCATTTATAATTACACAATTTACATTTTACTCTAATTTTCAATCCTGCCAAGATTATTTAGCATAACTAACTTTTAAACTATGTATTCTTTTCTCTTTGCCATTAGCATATCAATCAAATTTGCATTATTCTGCCTTGCTCATTTTATTAAAATCGAATTCAGGGCACAATTGACTTTTCATTTGTTTAACAAGTGAAGAAATATTTACCTCGACAGCCATTGTATTATAGTGATCCATCTTCATAGTATAATTTGCTAACTGTGAATCAAAAAAAAAAGATGGCATACAATTCAGTTACACAAAGACAGTGCAGCCTATTTTTACATATCCAAGAAAAGAATCTTTATACATAATACATAATAAGAGTTCTAAGCTTAGAAAAAAATGAAATCAAACTTTGTATTGAAGAGATGGGCTTCCTAATACATAATGCAAGCTTAACCAGAAAAATCTATGGTAGTCAAACTAGGAGCTAATGGAGATATATGATCATAAAATGCTCTCCGCTGAGTTTGATAATCAATGGTGCTCTACTGAGAATAGAATAACAAAGCAGAAATATTCACAAGTGCTGGTGACACGTAGTATTATATGATTTATTCACTGGGGTTCTTTTAGCCCAAACTCACAGAAACATAAAAGGAATTCATATTTCAAGACGTCTGGTTTAATGAAAAATTCAAAGAAATGCTGTCTTCAGTCGAAATCGTTCAAGGATATGGACGCAGTGATGGGGCAAAATTGTGCCTTCCAACCATCTATGCAAAATGCTATGTACTTAGCCGACTCCTGAGCGATCCCTGGGAACTTTGTTTCATTTAATATTCATTTTTAAACTATAAAATCATAAATATAATGATATCAGGTTACAGTATATCCCTAGGCAGAGTAGAGACTTCCTAAAGCCTTCGTTTCTTTCTAGAAAACACACATTTATCTATGAACTATAAATCTGTTCTAGTAAGCAATCATTTAGTGGTGTAGTTTATTTCAATGAAAATATCATTTTAAACTGTTTCCACCTATGCCTCAACCTTTTCATTAAAATTATAGTACAAATAAGTAGTGAAAGCAATGAAATTGTCCATTTTTATCCCATTGAAATTCACTGAATTCAGCCCAGGTTATGAACATTATGGTTCCAGCAAATATCAGAAGAAGAAAAAAGTGTTTTAACTCTTTATCAAGGAGTTTCCCTCCCTATGACAAACAAGGAGTTATAGAAAAGCTTTCCCTGTTTAGTGTTTGGATTTCCTGGTCTGATCCATAGCAAATTGTCTATGCAGAGGAGCAGGGCTGGATTATTTATCAACAGTCTAAGCAATTAAGAAACAGTTGGCACTTTGTTATTTACAAATAAACAGTGATGTTACTTTATTTTAAATTCTTTCTTCCTCAGAATAAGCAGAGCATAATTTTAGGTGATTTGAGATATTTACTTTAATACCAGATTTCTTCAAGTCATACTGAAGCTGACATTGATAATAATGTCTTTATTTTTTTAAAGTATTTTGGAGAGTATATATTCCAAAAGGTTTTGGCTTAGGAAAAGATGTTTATTATCTTTATCTTATCAGTATTTAGTTATAACTAGTTGAGTTTGTGAACCTTTGAGCCACAGAGTTTCATCTCTGACTTTGTTTTAGACCAGCTGTGTGCCTTTGAAAAAGTTACTAGAAGTTTCTTAGTTTTGACATCCATCTTTTCAAAACTGGGGAATTTCATATTTCACTAAGCTGTTGTGAAGATTAATAATAATAATTAGTATTCTAATTATATATTGAAGTGCTTCCCACATAGCTGAAAGTGATTTTATAAGGGGTGACATTTATCAAGATACATTATATTCATAAACTGCTTTGTTAAATGACAACTCCTTTGTATAACTACATAAAATAATAATAAATTAAAAATATTGTAAAGGTGATAGATATACAGAAGGGTTACAGTCATATAAGTCAGGTGTCACCCTGTATCACCCCTCCCTCAGTTTCTCCCAGTTTTTCCACTCCCTGCATGCCCCCCCCCAGTTATATAGTTCATTTCATACATAGAAAAAGTTTTAATATGTTATCAGTAGTGCAATACACAGTTTGTGGTTTGAATTATATATTATATAAATTTAAATATATTTAAATATATTATATAAATTTAAGTATATATAAAACCCCCAAAAGTATAAAAGGCTAAATTTTATTATGAACTAATTGGTAGGAGAGCTATTGCTTTAGAGTGTAATAATTCTGAAGTCTCACTTTTACAGTGGCTAGGCTTATTTTTGATTTCATACTGACTGTTTGCATTCATCATGTTTTTACCTATCATTTACAACTATTCACAGAACTATCTCAAGTCTTCTTTTACCAGGACTGCTGTACTCATACCTGCTTCACCTTATTTTTAATCATTCTGAACTTCATCTCTAGAATAATTTTATGAAGTATTGATTTTTTTCAAGTTGTTTCTGAGTTTTTAAAAATCATAGGCCTTCAATAATATCCAAATCTCTCTCCTTCTCTCTCTCTCTCTCTCCCGCCCTCCCACCCCCACCCCTCATAATTTACAATGAGGGGAAGATAAATGAGAACCACTCAATTACAAGTCAAGGTAATATTCAAAACTTCCCATAATCAGGTCCCAATTCTTAAAGATGATGTTTATTTTCATTATAAAGATGATGGACACGGGAGTTAAATTTGCATAAGTCAGGTAAAGAGTGCATTTCTTCAGTGTTTTCCAGTTATCTTCAAAAACTTATTTCTCCTCTGTTTAACTGAATCAGGGCACATTTTCTCCTGTACTTCCATATTCCTCTTTTCAAACATTCATAAGGAAGTCCTTTGCTCCCCTACTCTCAGTACCTCCAAGTAAAATAAAAAGTTAGCATTTCCCTATAACAAGTAGGATATTTGACTAAAAAAAAAAACAGCAAAAGAAACAAGAATAAAATTTTGAATCTCATGTTTTCAACCTGATTAGAGGCTGTCCACTGTGAGGGTAGCCAGTCCCTTCGGAGGCCTCTGGATTCAGTCTACACTTTTCTCCTTCTCGTCATTCCTGATCCACTCTAATCATATGATATAAAGGTTTTAATCTTTCTATAGTTATTGGATATTATGGTTGGAGACCAGGACAAGATGAGCTTCAAGGAGAAAACAGTCAACTATCTCAAAAGCAGAATGCATAAAGTTACATAAAACAGTGGTACTTCTAAGTTTCTTTTAAGTTTTTTCATCTGGTCCTTGTGAAAACGCATGATTTTGTTTTCTGATTGTTCATCTATTTTAATTTTCTTCCTTCTTCTTTAATCCCACATAATGTATTCTATAAGTGTCAGTTCTTAGCCTTCTGCTTAGGTAGAAAATCCTTTCCATATATACTGGTGATTATATAAACTTCATCACTAGCTCTGGCTCTCAATCTATGGTCCTATCTAATAGCTCAGTTTAATAAACATTTGTTGAGTACTAATTACGATCTACCAAACACTGCTGAGACAGCATCAACACTTTACAAGATTATCACCACAGGGAGGTGTCCTAACATCACTGCAAACTCAATAAACTCCAAAATATCTTTCTGTAAGCCTCTCTGAGCAACCCCATTCAGAATGCTTCTTATTAATACCTTTTCTTTTGTCAGCATGGTAACTATGAATTAGCTTTGCTGAGATAAAAAAAAAAACGATCCAACTATCAATTGGGTGCCAATGTCTCATGCTGTAATCCTAAATACTCAGGAATCTGAGATCTGAGAATCATGGTCCAAAGCCAACCCAAATAGGAAAGTCCATGGAACTTATCTCCAATTAACTAACAAGAACTCAGAAATAGAGCTATGGCTCAAGTGATAGTGCACTAGCTTTGAGCATAAAAGCCCAGAGATAGTGCCCATGTCCAGAGTTCATAGTAAATTAGTTAATTAATTTGAAAAATGTAACTAACTTTGAAGATTAGAAAACAAAAGTTCCCTTCTTACTGTCATGACATAGAAGCTAAGGTTCCCTATTGCTTTTCTCCAGTCCAGAGGTGAGAAGAGCCAGAAACTGAGGAAGAGGTAGAACACCTAAATGTTCAATTTTCGTGTGACATATATTTCATTAGCTCACAATACTTGGCCAAGCTAAAACCAATAGGCAGGGAATTAATAATCCTTTTATGAGGAGGGGTAGAAGGGTGAATAATTTTTTAACAAAACTATAATCTACTCTGCTACATGGAAGCAGACTTAAAGGACATCCAGAAGATACTTTATATTAAACATGTATTTCTATGTAGATTTTAAAAGACCAAGATCTCAGAAATTTAAGTTACATGTTTTAGTACCTATGAGCCACATCTCTTCCAGTGTAAAGTGAAGAAATACATTTGCATATTTAGAAGACAAAGTATTATTACAAACAGATGAATACAAACACGCTTTTAACCAAAACATCTCTTTAATAACACTGGATATTGCTTCACCTATGTAATGCTGAACTTGTCAACAATCTTTCCCTAGTCTCCAATAGTTTTGTCATGTAGATTGACATTCTTATAGTGCTTCTTTCTCAATGTGCCATATCTATTCCCAATTTCAAACTTCACTTTTACTGTTATCTCCTTGACCTTTACAGAGTACATTAATTCGCCAGGTACACATTTATTATCTCACCTTCTTTGGATGTGTGTGGGGGGGTATATGTTGTATGGGTGTGGGTATCTGGGTGTGCGTGCATGCACATGCATGCATGTATATGTGTATGTGTATATGTGCATGTGTTTGCTAAGGGGATGATTCTGTTAGATTGACTTTTTAAATTATGTATTTAACAGATAATGTATTCACATTGTTTAAAATTCAAAAGATACAGAAGAGTTTATAATGAAGACTTTCCTTCCCCAACCTATTCCTCAGCTACTGACTTGGTTCTCTTCCCTGGAGGCAGATTAATATCATTAGTATTTTTTTGTGATCTTTCCAGAGATACTTCAAAAGATAAGTAAATGAAACCAGTGGTTCTCAAATCATGCTCTGGTAGCTTAAGTGACAACATAGATCACAGACTCTAGGTATTTCTATTTTATTAGCTTCCAAAATGCCTTCGTTGTATACTGGTTTTATATACTGGTTTTGTATACTGGTTTTTAAATAAGGTGATCATTAAAAGAGGAGTCTGGCATTAAATGTTTATAGTCAGTATTCTATACCCCTCATTCTATAATGAAATCACATACAATATTATTCTATAACCTTCATTCTATAAAGAAACCATATAC